CCTTATTTGCCTGACAATTTTGTTCTAATCATCAAATATGAAGAGCACTTGCAATTGCCAGTAAAAATATCACTACTAACTCAACTAAGTAATACACAAGATAAGTAAGATAAGTTCATGAAAGTTTGCTTAATTATCTTTAGTAGTTTCGAAGTGAGTTCCTTCGTTTCGACATGCTCTGAATGAAATGTAATAGCCAAAACAAACACAAAGGTGTTACTGACTAGGGCTCTTTAATTGGAAAGAAATGGGTTGAAGAGATGCAGACAGGAAAGGAGACATAAGATTGTGGCTGATCTATATCATTGAAGCTTTATATATTCACCTGTTGCTGGCAATTTTCATTATCTACGGGTATATCACGAACTCACAATTAAGGTGACCACCTCCCACTGGGCTTGATAGCGCAGTTGGTAAAGCAATACACCGGTATATGGGTTCCGATCCCACCAGGCTCTATTTTAGCAACTGTTTAAGTTGCGTACATAACTGGAATGACCTCTCGTGTCTGTAAAGCAAGACTGATTTTTTAAGGTGTTTGAAACACGAAGTGACGAAATGGCACTACAACAATTGAGTAGCCTAAATAGCGCTCCGGTTGGCCTAAAGTAGGCGCTCCGCGAATAAATAAATAAATAAAAACAGCGCTCCGGTTAGCCTAAATACACTGAGTCGACACTGTCGCAGAGGGAAACTCTCAATAACAAGGGCTGCAGTCACTGACATCAACGTTGACTTTTACTCATGGTGCCATTTCGTCATTTCACCATTTCATGTTTTTAACCATCCTCGATGATCTAGGAGCAGTTAATCGTGTCGCGAGGACAAAAAATCGGCGCGTGAATGTTTTCACAAAAGTTTACAAGGACGTGCAAAAGAGGGAAGTTTACAAGGACTAGCCCGTGTACATCCGCCCCCCTCCCCTCAAAAAGTCCGGGAAGAAGGACTTTCTCTCCGATTGTTTGAGGGGAAGGTGCGGATGAACACAGGCTAACAAGGACGTGCGAAAGAGGGGAGTTTACAAGGATGTGCGAGAGACCCCCTCCTTCGCGCGTCCTTGTAAAACCTTTCTCCAGCGAATTTTTATCCTCGCGCTTGATTAACTCCTGGTCTCAATGGGGTTAATCGTTAACCGTAAAACGGGCCAAAAAATTGGAAGATTTAAACCGTTAGCCGAAAAATAATTGGCAGATTTTAACTCTTAGCCGAAAAAATATTAACCTCACATTTATTTTAACCTTTTAAGGTTGATATTCTAGTAACTTTTTTAAAAAAAAGTTACTTAAGAGATTATGTCAAGATCTCTTGTCAAGACCTGTGGTTTGTTTGTTTGGGGAAAAGCCGGGAGACTTGGTAGTAACTATATATATTAGAATTCTAATAATAATAATAATACCTTTTTCCACCCCGGGAAGGTCCTAAGACCTTAAATATGCTTTACGATAATCAAAATAAATTTTTAACTTTTTAAACGATGAATGATGATGGTGGTGGTAATTAATATCTAAGATTTCTTTTAACCGCTCCTGATTTTCTTTTGTGCAGTGATGAGCCTGGAATGCTATAAATGCAGCAGCCCAACAAGCTGGGATGAATGCAGACAGGAGAAGAAAGCCTGTCCAGGTGTCCTCGATCGCTGCATTAAAGCCTACGTCAAATATGGTGACACCGAAAGCTTTCAAAAGTACTGCGGTATAGAGGCACAGTGCAATAAAAATATCAACCCAACTTGCAGACTTGCCAAAGCAGTCGGAGCTAGCGAGTGTACAGTCGACTGCTGCGAGGGTGACCTGTGTAACGCTGGCTCAACCGCCGGGATCAGCGGTATGGTGATGATGGCATGCGCAGTGGTGGTACTGGTTTTCTTGAAGGCTTAATAAAGACTTGCTAGCATGTCAAAGTCTTTGTAGCAACGAACTGTAGTAATTAGAGAAAACTAAAAGTAATGATCATTATGGTGGTTTGTAACGTAACCAAATGGATTAAACTGACGGTTTTCGCAACATTGAATGGTATGCGTTTCTTTGATAAGAATCATTCCAAAATTTGCATCATTAAATTAATTTTCTGGTCGTTTTTTTGATGAATCACGGACGGTAATCCCCCCTTAACTTTTATTGAATATCTTGGTGGCGCTATAAAACAGTGTTTATATCACAAAAAAAACGACATAATTAAAATGCGTTTGCAGGTTCTCCTCAATGTTTAAGGTAACTCCTCTGAAATAAAAGTGACGATAGATTTTTGTTCAAACTTGGTCCACTGAATATTTGTCATATGATAACTTCAATTTTGAAATAAAAAAGGGGGTGACCATGCTCATTAAGGAGCAGTGAGGCATTGAAAATGCCCCATTTTGGCATTATTCAATGCTTATTATAAGAATGCATTCCCAGTAAATGTAAAATCTTTGTGAACCCAGACTCGTAAGAACACGCATTAAACTACAGTCAATACATTGTGTCGGACACAAATAAACATTTTAAGTTTGATTCAGGCAGAAAGCTAAATCCTTGATTAAAAATTTGAACCAAATTTCTTGACGGGGTTACCGACTGCAAAATAGAAAAGACCACAGTGTATCTGCTATTTTTCTTATTTATTCGATTTTCAGCAATAGAAATTAGATCAGTCTTTTCTCACGCAAAGCTTATGATTAGTTGATTACATTGACTGGAAAAAAAATTGGGGTGCCCGTGCTCGTTGGTGAGCTAGAGCCATTTTCAACTGACAGAGCTCAATATTCAGGCAAATCCGCCATGTTTTCAATATGCGCGTGCACGAGCGCGCGCGCTAATGACGCCATAAATTATGCGCAGTAAGGATTCGCAATGCAAATGTGAGGAATGACCTTAAAATGCTTGTTTACTTCGGAAGATAATTCGATACGGGAGGTAAAGAAAATGACAACAATTGACAGTTCTCGGTTTAATTTTGGAGGTTTTTCATTTATCATGCAGTTTATAAGATTCAAATCTTACACAAAGAGAATATCCCAGTTCACTTTTGTAGGCCTTAATCAGCATTGCCGCTATGATCACAAATAAAGAAGCCTCGACTGTGCTCTGTCCTGTTGTAAAGCACGCAGGAAGCGGTAGAGCACGATAGAAGTGTAGGTGAAATCACGAGACGTAGTCGAGAGTTTTTCCCTACTTCTTGAGTGCTCTACCACTTCCTAAGTGCTTTACAACAGAACAGAGCACAGTCGAAGCTTCTTTATTTGTTTCATGATAAAGAATCCGATAATTTCCCCACGCATTTGGCTGAATTTTCAAACCAAACTTTATTTTCCGAACGAGCAAAAGTGGCGTCAGCCATGCACTGTTCTCTGATATAGCACGCTAAAATAAGCCAATCAAAATTGTTGTTAGAATTGTTCAAGTAATTTGATTGGCTAACGAAGCGGCAGCTGTCAGTCACAAACTGGACTTCAGTTAAGTTTTCGGCCGTTTGAGTAATTTGAGCGGCTTTCGGGAGAGGAACGATGCCTTCAGAGTTCGCTTTTAAGCTAATTTTTAAATACGGACCTCAAGGCAGGTGAAGGTTTATAGTCCAGAGGAATCCGGCCGTATTGTGGCCCATGAAAACGTGCACTTTTACAGGGGAAATTACGAAACGCAGAGCTCAAAGCTTGCGGATGAAAATGCGAAATGCCGAGTTGAATTTGAAAGGAGCTACAGTTATTTGCAAGATTGCCCGAGCTAGCGTAAAAGTTAGAAAGGCTAAACGGCTCCCACTGGTTGTACTCCGAGCACAGAAGAGAACATCAGAGCAAGCTTTGTACTGACCACTCGTCGGTTCACTTCACTGAGATGACCGAAGAACGAGCGTTACTACACTGTATGTAAGTGTTGTTTGAGCAATTGAGCATTTTTACAAAAATAAAGCTTCTCATCATAAACAGAGACAATTCAATTGTTGTTTTCTGTCGTTGTTTTATTTCTTAAGTATAATTTCTGCCTTCGTAACAAATATAATGTCTTTTATCGAAGCACTGTTTTGGTTGAGAATTTGTTCATTTCGCTACATGTTTTGTCGGCGGAAATCTAGCACAACTTGTTATTTTAGTACACTTTTAACACTACTGTTGCTAACAATGGTCTCTGTGAGCCATATTTACTACAGACAAATAGCTCGTTTCCATTGCGTTTGTGTGAATCACAGGGGATGTTTAATTTGGGGCAAATTTGTCAAAATTCCGAAGCCAAAATTTGAAAACCAACTTACCGTCATCAACCCGTGCTCTGTTCTCTAATAAAGCACGCTCTTTCAGCCAATCAAAGCACGCGTTATATGGAAACTTTATTATAATCACTGAGGCTGCTCTGTGACAGCTGACAGCATCATCAGGCACAGCCGGGTGGTTAGGGCACCGGACTTGAAACCAGGAGGTCGCGGGTTCAAGTCCCGCTCTGACTACTTAGCTGGAGCTGTATCTCGACTCAACTCTTTAGTCATGCTTGTCTGCCTCCCGCTAGTTGGGATTTTTAAGCCTATTATGTTTAGTTGATGTATCTGTTTCTTTCAGTTCAAGTGATATGCCTGAGAACTAGCTAGGCTAAGCGCATTGACCACTATAAACAATAGCATTTGAACATTTTGAACATTTGAACAGACTGTACGGCGAAGGAGCGCTGCGGTACAAAGGGACTGGGGCCGGGTTATCTAGTCTTGTAAGAATCTCGATTAGTATAGTATATACCACACAAGTGAATAGTACTTTTTGCGCACGCTGATTGGCTAGCTCGGAGGTGATTAGCCAAGTACTATTCGCCTCCGAGCTAACTACTTTCACGTGATGGCACAATTCCTTCAAAGGAAATATCTTTTTTTTTTTTCGTTCCACACATTCAATTTATTTCAAAAGAAAAATAAGAATCCCGTCCAGAATAAGCGCTCTTTCTCCAATAAGCGCCTTGGACCGAATCATTATGTAACGGGTTTTCTTCAACGGAAATCCGATCTTTTTACAGATTCGATTCAGTCATATTCCGATCGAGTCTACGTCAGAAGTGAGCGCCAATTCAGTTGACATGCAGAAAATTTATCTGTTTATGATTGGTTAGAAGTATTTTATACCACATAAATTTCACTTGCTAATTTACAGATTTCCCTCAACACATGAGAGACCATTCTCCGTATGGAAACAGATAGTAAGTTCCGTTCTATTATCATACCGCCGACTACCAAGCTATGAAACCCATTAAGTTTCTCCTTATCATCTCATTGGTTTTCTTGTTTATTTTCTCAGGTAGGTGGTAAATACACTAGGACCGTAGCAACTTATTCGGACCGATAACAACAGCAACAATAACATCAATATCTTCTATATCCCAGTTCTGCTAGTTCGCTTTTATAAGCCTTTATCAGCTAAAGTCGGGACCAGTCGTTCAGGTAACCAGATTAGCGGGCCCGTACGTAACCAGTATAAAGCAAACCGCGGCACTTGCCTCAGTCATTCTTTTTTTTTTCCCGCTTTTGTTGGACTTCTTTTTAAAAAGGGAAGATAAAACACTGCTAAATACCTCACTCATAATTTTTTCTGGCTGCGGTCCTGGTCAGTCATTCTACACACCGTCGAACAGTTAATTTTTTAATCGGGTATAAATAATCTAGTTTCTACAGCAATAGCTTCAAAAGCTACGTTTGACTTGAAACTAAATGATTTCAAGCCCTGTTAATAAAATTGTTGGGAATTTAATATGGCGATACTCAACCACCCGTATAATTATTTACTTCAAACAACTGTCTTCCTAAGGCTGTTGTACCACCATGAAAGAAGCGGGACAATTTTTTCATCACTAAAATCAATTTGACTGGGCTCGTTGACATAATTATGGGAAAACGTAATATTTAGTACATTTTCGAGCTTTATATATAATTTTAGGTTAGTATTGCTTTAAGTAACTGCTTGCTGTTGTTCCCTCAAAGCATTCATTTATTCAACCAAATTTCTTAGCTAGCGTTCTGAATATATTTTGACATAAAAAGAAGAAAGAACAATAGGAAAATTGTCGTTCCCAATGTCTTGCTGTGTTTCAATCGCAGGACACGTTTTATTTTCCTTTTTCGTCGTAAAACGCAATCCGTTTATAACAACGTACGTTTGCTTAAATTAAAACGCGAAATTAATTCGTGCATAATTACGATCATTTTTCTGACACATAGTGAAACTCATCCGCGTAGTAATCGAAAACACTGTTCCATTGTATACCGTGCAGGGACACTCGCAAGAAAACGTATTAAAGAAGTTTCGTTGTATTAACCTTACGCTGAAAGCGGACTCCGGTCCGTAATGCGGGTGTCTATTCAGCTACGCTGCTTTGATGAGTCCAACTGATAAAACGGCTGTATGCATCTGTTGGGTTATAAAACTGCAAACATAATGAAGACAGTAACAATAAGACAATTGAGGGTTCTAACAAGGAGGTACTGGGTATAAATCTCATTTCCCAGCCAACAGTTTGGCTTAATCCCTTTTCCCAGCCTTTTTTTTTTTTTTACTCAAATCCCATCTCATTCACGATTTTTGTGTTTGTGATTCCCAGTCCCAGGGACCCAAATTTCATTTTCTAGTGAAAAATAGGCAAATCCCATTTTCCATTTTAACCCTTCTGGCCCCTAACGATTAGAAATCGAAACTAGCTGAATGGCGTTATTGCAGCCAGTAGTCATACAGCAAGATTTTGTAAACATCAGCTCTTACACTAGAAGCCTAGACAGCTAATACATTCATCGCAGGTCAGACTGCTAATTCAATATACCGGTAATCGTTCGCACACTCTTCTACTGGAGGGAAACGTTGTGAAACTGAATTATTTTGCTCATAAACATAACACAAGTATGTAATGTGTAGACTGTAATGGGTAGAAACGTACTCCGTAGACTGTTTTTCTTTTTATCTGTAGTGTAAGTTTAATTGTAATTGTTGTAACTGTTCGAGCAAATTAATAAAAATAAAATAAAAAAAAATAATAATAAACACAACACTGCTACACTGACCTGACTCGACATTGCCGTGTTATGTTCTTCAGTGCCCTTTCCTCGCTCTACCAATGCAGGGCGAAGTTGTTGGATAATTAATTCAAATGCTAATCCAGGACTTAAATTTAACCAACTACTGAATTTTTTTTTTCTTTTCAAACTTAAAATGGGTTATTCGCTCTAATTTAAGTTTCAATAAGTTTGGCGAGTATCGAGATCACTCAAATTAAAAAACTGAACCGTAAGAAAAACATTAATTAACAGAAGTCATATCTATAACTTGCAAAACGGAATTAAAAGTTGACGCTAAGTTACGATGGACTACTATCCCGTCTAGGAGGTGGAGGGAAAAATAGCAATCATCCGCTTGAATTCATGCCATCAATATTTTCCTGGACTCCCTGTCAACTACACTAACAAGCTGCAGCTTCGTAAGCCGTTTTGGGAATTGCAGATGTAATATATCAAACACGAGAGACGGTGTTTCATCGGGATATCCAAACACCGAGACGGGAGTTAAAAATACGACGTGTAGCGGAGTATTTTTGACGAAATTCGAGGTGTTTGGATAGCCGATGAAACACTGTCTTGAGTGTTTGATATATCTTCTTAATCGAAAGGAAAACTAAGAAGTAAACAGACGAGTAAAATCATCAAACTCTATGCTAATTAAGACTGGGTATCCAAACCTCCTTCACGGTTTTGATTTTCTTTGTTTTGACTTGATGAATTATTAATGAGTTTGAGAAAGACAGATATTTCTTCCAATCTGTAGCAAATCAGTACTTCCAGTTTTCACTCTGTTTCTGCTTCGTATGCTTATTTATTGCACGCCATTTCTCCATAGCAACAAGCCTCAAGTGCTACAAGTGCTACAGTGACACGTCTTGGAATCAATGCGACGATATCCGAGAGACAGTCACCTGTCCTGACGAACATGAAGAAGCGTGCTCTAAGGTGCTCTATAATCATGAGCTTCATGGCAGAAAAACTCACACAAAGTTCTGTGAGATGAAGTCACAGTGCACGAGTACAAGTAACCCCGTATGTAAAGCTGCCGAGTCTCATAACGCAGAGTGCGAGGTTCATTGTTGTACGCATGACCTGTGTAACGCTGGCTCAGCTACGGCGATCAGCGGGATCCTGCTGGTTGCATGCGCTGTGTTGTTGGTGGTATCTCTATCGCTGGAGGATGATTTCAATCCATCAATACACTAGAATAGGGAACTTGATGGAGGCTCGATTTAAATATTACTGTAACTCTTTTGAACTATTCAAATTTTCTTAGTTGCTTTGTTAATAAAGTACTAAATAGTTCCGATTTGTCATGCGAGTTGCAAGTGGCAAGTTGGAGTTACGATTTCGGCGTTTGAGACGAAAGTTCCCACGTGCACTTTTCTTCGCCCGAATTCAATTTCAATTTGTATTACTTTCTTCATAGAAGATGGAGACATTGGACCACTCTAAATGTTGCTGCAGATACATGGAACTCCTTAGAAATTACGCTCAGAGAATCGCCAACAATAGCGGCATTTAAGGGTGGTCTTTCCAAAGCCGCACTTTAATTTGTAGTTTAATGTAGCAAGCATGATGCATAGTTTTTTTAACATTGTCTCCTTTTGTTCTTATCTATTAATACGTTTATATTTTTAGTTCTGCATAGTTAAATATTAGTTTAGATTAATCTCAATTGAGGACCCTTCTGTTAAGGACTCGGTGACGTAGGTCTCCTCAATTAAAGATTATTATTTATTATTATTATTATGATGATGATGATCATCATCATCGTCATCGTCATCGTCATCGTCATCGTCATCGTCATCGTCATCGTCATCGTCATCATTACTAATACAAACGACAGTTTGGCAGGCCAGCCGCGCCCATGGTGGCTTGACTAACAGGGTTGCAATGTATTTCAGATTGGTGAGCTTCGCAGTGCACTGATTACCTTGTAAATGGTTATTGGCTTTACTCAAATGTATTCAAGTACAGCCATTCAATAGATAACATTGCGTGTGGCTCAAACTAAAAGTCGACCTCATGCACGAGGGTATGACGCATGCCACAGTTCTCAACTGTGCATCAATTCCTACTTTATTCAGACGATGTCCAGGTAATAGGCAACACTGATAAAGAGAGTTTGTGTCCCTCTAAAACTTTCTCCTTCTCGCTTCTCAACATTCCCTTAAACCTTATTGCATTTTGTAAAGTGTGATTAGTGGAATGGTGAAGTGGGCACTTCTTTGTTCCATCACTGGCTCACCTCTAAAATCTTTTCAAGAAAGTGCCTTCCCTGTTGTCTCAACTCGACTCAACAGACATGGTGTTGAACTTCATCAGGTCCTGTTTAAGACTACACCCTTTGTTTACACGTTACTTATGTACAAAAATATCTGACGTGTTTCTATAAATGAGCTCGAATTTGTCCCATACCTGATAAAGTATAACAGTCACTCCAGACGTGAAATCTCATGTTTCAAAACAATTTAAATCCTACGTATTTTGCTACAGACCTTACTTAGCTTGCCACAGCAAGATGGCGGATCGCAAAAAAAAACCAGTCTGTTTTCACAAGCATTAATTCATTACTGTCAAACCAAGTGAAGCGTACCCCTCAAGATTACATTAATGAATTGATTATTAGAATATGGAACCCACCAGTCGTTTCAGGAATGCAACAATGAATTGGTGTTTTGAATACGGAACCCGTTAGCCGTATTCTTGGAACGGGCGAGAGAGTTCAATATTCGAATAATCAATTCATTGTTGCATTCTTGAAACGACAAGCGGGTTCAGTATTCAAATAATCAATTCATTAATGTAATCTTGAGGGATACGCGTCACTTGGTTTGATTGTAAGTGTATGCAATTCAACCATACTTGATAGAGGGTAATGGTTGTGAAGCCCGGTAAACATCAAAGGAGCAAACAAAGATGCCAAGATTTATGTTGAGAGGTCCACGTCCGTGCACAGTCTTTTGTTTTGTGTTCACACACCGTGATGCATGAGTTACGTAATCAAAACATTAGTTACGTAATCGCAAACATATTGGTTAGTTCCTCGGTCAGTAGTAAACAACTATGTTGTTTTGTGCACGTTCAAGGCCGAAAAACAGAACAAAAACATACAGCACAGAACTTTGTCGAGTCTCATAACCATTGCTTTCTAGTAACTATGATTCAACCCAGTAGCCCTTTTAATTGCACGGTTGGCTTTATTCCTATTTGCATAACATTGTAATTCAACATGGATGCGACGCAATATTTAGGGCTGAAACTGCAAAATCGCCGGAAATTGCCTGACTATCGGCCTGTTCATGAAGCATGTAAGAAATTTGGAACAATTGTTTTTTTGTTTCATTGCGGAAAGAAAATATGTCTACCCTTGAGGGTAGACATATTTGAATTACGAATTGGCGCTTTAGAGTCATCGAAACATAAAAGAAAGAACACCCACGAATTCGGCTTTCTATCTGGAGTGTACAAGGTTTGAACCGGAACGGAAATTTCTTTGAAAATCACTGACCCCAACTAAACCAATTACTGATGACCACTTGTGGGGACAACTAATTACATTCCAAACTGTCAAAGTGTCAGTGATCACAACTTTTGATCTTCGACCAATCTTTATTGCCAACAGCGTGCTTTATTGGTTATGCATATACTGACTATACTGCTCAAAGATGTATTAGCGCGCAAACAGACTGCTCCCAAACTCTGAGAGTCTGATACCAAAGGTAAGTCTCATTTGATTCTCTCGAGTGTGATTCGGGGCCCGTTTCTCGAAAGCCCGCAATGTTTTCGGGCCCCGAAAAGCCATTTTTAGTAAATCGGTATTTAAAGACAGAGAGGTGTACACGCCTGAAATTTCTTGTATGAAGAGAACCTCTGCTCGTATTAAAAATATATGTATAAAACAGTTCTCTAGTCAAAAGGTCTGAGATTTTGCTACGGCTTTTCGGGTGGGAAAACTTTTTGGGACCATCGAGAAACGAACCCCTGGTCTTTTCAATGAAATTACGTAATATGTGCGATGCCAAGTTAAGCATATATTAGTAGTCTGTGCGTTCTCGTCTGTAGACTTCTAAGATTTAGCTGTTAGGACTGTTAAGTTTTCGTTTGGTAAGAATTAACTTTCGGTGACAGGTACCGGTTTGCTTTTCCGACTACTGTTCGGAGATGCCTCATGACAGACCTAACTATGGTAGAGTTGGTCCTGAAGTTGAGACGAAGCGAGTAAGCGGGATTTTCGGAGCTATCGTCTAGTGTTTGTTCGATTACCGAGGCTAGACTATTTGACCTTAAACGTGCATGATAGTCACAAATAAACCTTTTATTGATTTAGCAGGTTGGTACTTGTCTTATTAACAAAAAAAAAAAAAAGAAAAAAAAACTAGAAAATATCATCCACAGAAATCAACGGTGTAATTCAAATATTTGTCTACTTGTATGACTGACTAGCTGATCGGATGGCATCAGTTCTCAGTAGGGATAGCCTTATTTTTTTACTCAATTTCACGGAATTCTTTCGCAAAATTTCCAGAATGAAGGTATCAAAATCGGAGACACCGCCGATGGACAACTCCTAACGGGCAAACTTCTTAAATATTCACTTCTTGGCATGAATTATTACGTAAACTGCATGCCAACGAGTCTACATACTGACACATAGGCATCTTACAATAACAACGTGAAAAATTATATTTAGAATCATTGTGCCGATATGCTGCGTCCAGTGGTTGCCATTCTCCTTTCCACATTTCTGACACTCACTCCAAGCATACAATAGCGCTCATATCCTTCACTTTGATATCTTCTTTAATAAACAATGAGAGTTATTCTTTACTTTTGACAAATGATGGCCTCCCCGCATTCCACGTCCACGTATTCCTCCTTCAGATTCTGACTGATTTACTTTTTCGGTCTCTACCATTAAACTGTAAACCCGGCCTTTCGATCATTTCCGTTACAAAGTCATTAATATCCATGTTACTATAATTCTCTGCAGGTAGTTTAGTTTACTGATAAGCTAAAGCTGGGACTCTCGTGGGCCATAATTTGTGTTTACCAGCCTATCTTTCCTTTATAAGATAAACTCTTGTCCCCACCTCGATTAGTTTTGGAACTAGTTGCGGGGTCAAGCAATTCTTTCATTTATACGCAAAGACAAGAAAATGAAATAAAATTGAATTGTTTTGAAACTAACGACATCATCAACAGCTTGCAGCTTCAAACAAGTACGATCTATCGTCCATAATTTGGCAGGCACTCAACTGCAGTAATATAAAGAACAAAACTTAAATAAATTGTCATCATCGCTTACACGTGCTGATTTTAACTTTTCTTATAATTATTTCCAGGGAAATATATGGTAGTTGACTTGACAGGATCTTTTAGCATTGCAATTTTGAAGCCTACAGCAAAATAAGTTGGTCGAAATCTCAGCTGGTTGAAATGTTAGCAGAACAAGACACCACGCAATGCTTTAGGAAAGTATCATGGCTCTTTACTGGAAAACGTTTCAAGGATAGTTCATGGTCATGAATCGTGTGTGTTTCAGCAGCGGTTTGCCATGCTGTTAATCTTGGTATGGTACTTAGCTTTGGTGTTCTGTTCCCGACTTTGATGGACTACTTTGACGAGACCAGAGAGAGAACAGGTTAGTGGAGTTAGTCTTGTAGCTGTGTTGTCGACAAGCGGGCAGTCTTTGCAGCCCGCTAGTCAAGTGTATCATATGTGCCGGTAGTCGAGTTCAGTGCTGTTGACTTGTTGCTGAATAACGCTTAAAAGCTACTGATTTAAAAACGAAAAACTGCTGATCATTTCCTTGTACAACATTGAGAGGTTCAAATTAGAGGGTCATACGTTCAGTCGAGAACGGGATCGATTTTAGACTACAATCAGATAAACTTACTCGAAAAGTAGTGTTGAGCTTTGCTCCTCGAAAATCCACTTTGTTTTGAGGGGATGCAAGTGAACTCTACAGTACAGTATACTGAATTATCTTCTCATGACTGTATTAACACAACTGTAATGATCTTCGAAAGTTGAAAAATACGTAGGCACTGTCGCCTTAAAAAACTGACATTGCGTTGAATCGCAATGTTTGGTCATTGTTCAAACTTCCAATTCGTTTAACTGAATTTCGCTACTTAACATCTTGTACGTTGGATTGCCAACAGTTCCGAATTTATACTTTCATTAACATTTACCAGTTCTACAAATAAAGTATACAGTTTTTTACATCATGTCATAGAAATCGAATCAAATTTCGCCATGATTGTAATTTGGAAATGGCCTATTGAACACAAATGTTTAAAATTGGAATTCAAGTTATTTTAAAATAAAATAAATCAATAAAGAAAACGACCTATAAGCCATGGAACATGACGGCAGAACGATTTCAACGCAAAACTAAATAGACCTTGAAGACAAACCGTCATTTCGCTAAACAAACTGAAGTTTGCATTCTTAGCTTTGGATTCTGTAATATTTGGCTTGAAAACACTAGTGCCAAATTTGACGGTTATCTCGTACAATGACTATGAAAGCTAAACACTGGGATTTGAATTCCCCTCCCTTGTGTCCCCAAAACCCCCGAAGACAGGGGCCCTGAAGAAAAAGCTAACTATTTTGATGCCAACAAATGGAAAACGAAAAAACTTCAAGTCAAACTGCATGGAAAAGAACTTCAGAGCACTTATAAAGGCATCTATTTTTCCCTGCAAGCAACGAAATTTATTGTTTCATTGGTACTTCTTAATTTCTGTAGGGCTTAATTTTGGCGATATTGCGAAATGATCACGACGAAGACTGGGAAAACGTTATCACAAGAGATCGAACCTCTAATGTAAAACCCTTTCATGAAACTCTTTTTCTCCTAACACAGTAGAGAGAAGAACATGCTAAAATGCCGAACTGAATATTAACTTTGTTCTATGTCCAGTGCCTCCCAACCGAACATGTCAGTCTGTTGTATGTTATGCTTTTCTTTGCTTTGTTTTCCTCTAGTTCTGTCGACTTATAACATCGACTCTGAGATTAACCGTTTGTTACAGAGCGGATCAGCGTTGAAAAATTCGTTTCCCTTCATCGCAAATTTCGCCAAATGGCGAAAATTTGGCAGAAAGCAAAATGTAGCGCTCCTAATTTCTCGCAAACCAAGGATCCCGCGAAAAGAAATAACGATGAGTAATTGAAGGTGAAAAATATCTATCACTGATTGAATAACGTTTTTATTTTCAGCTTTTGTCGGCTCAATCGGTCTGGGCATGGTATGGTTTGCAAGTCCGCTGGCAGGCTATCTGTGTGATCGCTTTGGATGGCGTATCACATGTTTCTTGGGAGGCACGCTATGCATTGCGGGTCTGGTGTCGACATCATTCGTCCAGAGCTTCACAGTGATGTACTTCACGTACAGCGCCTTGTACGGTTTAGGAACTTGCTTCATATGCAATTCTTGTTTTCTTGCAATTGCTAAGTATTTTACAGACAAGTTGTCTGTAGCTACTGGCATCGTTTCATTGGGCGCGGGTGTAGGGGTCCTCTACACCGGACCTTTGCTTCAAGTCCTCTTAGACTCGTTTGAATGGAGGAACACTTTTAGAATAATGGCAGCAACTTACGTCCTTGTTTGCATTTTGAGTCTGAGTTTTAATCCATACGTAGAAGAAATAGCAACAGTGGAGAACTTAAGCATTGAAAGGAACAACAAAGACGAAGAAAGAGACGACAAGTCAGGCATCTCTCTTTACTGCAGTGTGTGGAGCTTTCCTGCTTACACTGTTATTGTAACGTCGTTCACGATTGCCAATTTTGGGATGTATATTCCTTACATCAATCTGGTATGTTTAAAATACCTTGTTATTGCAAGGTGGGACGAGTTGGAAATAACACGTAAAATACCCAGAGGTTCAAATGCTCCGTATATGGGTCTTTAGTAGATATCTATTAGCGTTCCGTCACGAATGGCGTTCTCTGATTGGCTACGCTAGTCACTGACTATTCTGTTGTAGACAGCAAGTAGCTGAGGAGGGCACGGTTGTTGACAGAGTGGCCGCTGCTTCTTTGCGTTTTCGAAGTGCCTTTGAAGAGAATTTAGATAAAGTTTTGAACGACTAGTAGATTTACAATTAGGTTACACGCTTTNAAAAAAAAAAAAAAAAAAGAAAAAAAAACTAGAAAATATCATCCACAGAAATCAACGGTGTAATTCAAATATTTGTCTACTTGTATGACTGACTAGCTGATCGGATGGCATCAGTTCTCAGTAGGGATAGCCTTATTTTTTTACTCAATTTCACGGAATTCTTTCGCAAAATTTCCAGAATGAAGGTATCAAAATCGGAGACACCGCCGATGGACAACTCCTAACGGGCAAACTTCTTAAATATTCACTTCTTGGCATGAATTATTACGTAAACTGCATGCCAACGAGTCTACATACTGACACATAGGCATCTTACAATAACAACGTGAAAAATTATATTTAGAATCATTGTGCCGATATGCTGCGTCCAGTGGTTGCCATTCTCCTTTCCACATTTCTGACACTCACTCCAAGCATACAATAGCGCTCATATCCTTCACTTTGATATCTTCTTTAATAAACAATGAGAGTTATTCTTTACTTTTGACAAATGATGGCCTCCCCGCATTCCACGTCCACGTATTCCTCCTTCAGATTCTGACTGATTTACTTTTTCGGTCTCTACCATTAAACTGTAAACCCGGCCTTTCGATCATTTCCGTTACAAAGTCATTAATATCCATGTTACTATAATTCTCTGCAGGTAGTTTAGTTTACTGATAAGCTAAAGCTGGGACTCTCGTGGGCCATAATTTGTGTTTACCAGCCTATCTTTCCTTTATAAGATAAACTCTTGTCCCCACCTCGATTAGTTTTGGAACTAGTTGCGGGGTCAAGCAATTCTTTCATTTATACGCAAAGACAAGAAAATGAAATAAAATTGAATTGTTTTGAAACTAACGACATCATCAACAGCTTGCAGCTTCAAACAAGTACGATCTATCGTCCATAATTTGGCAGGCACTCAACTGCAGTAATATAAAGAACAAAACTTAAATAAATTGTCATCATCGCTTACACGTGCTGATTTTAACTTTTCTTATAATTATTTCCAGGGAAATATATGGTAGTTGACTTGACAGGATCTTTTAGCATTGCAATTTTGAAGCCTACAGCAAAATAAGTTGGTCGAAATCTCAGCTGGTTGAAATGTTAGCAGAACAAGACACCACGCAATGCTTTAGGAAAGTATCATGGCTCTTTACTGGAAAACGTTTCAAGGATAGTTCATGGTCATGAATCGTGTGTGTTTCAGCAGCGGTTTGCCATGCTGTTAATCTTGGTATGGTACTTAGCTTTGGTGTTCTGTTCCCGACTTTGATGGACTACTTTGACGAGACCAGAGAGAGAACAGGTTAGTGGAGTTAGTCTTGTAGCTGTGTTGTCGACAAGCGGGCAGTCTTCGCAGCGCGCCAGTCAAGTGTATCATATGTGCCGGTAGTGGAGATCAGTGCTGTTCATTTGTTTCTGAATAACGCTTAAAAGCTACTGATTTAAAAACGAAAAACTGCTGATCATTTCCTTCTAAGAACATTGAGAGGTTCACATTAGACGGCCATACGTTCAGTCGAGGACGGGATTAATTTTAGACTACAATGAGATAACTTACTCGAAAAGTAGTGTTGAGCTTTGCTCCTCAAAAATCCACCTTGTTTTGAGGGGATGCAAGTGAACTCTACAGTACAGTATACTTAATTATCTTCTCATGACTGTATTAACACAACTGTAATGATCTTCGAAAGTTGAAAAATACGTAGGCACTGTCGCCTTGTCGCCTGACATTGCGTTGAATCGCAATGTTTGGTCATTGTTCAAACTTCCAATTCGTTTAACTGAATTTCGCTACTTTACATCTTGTACGTTGGATTGCCAACAGTTCCGAATTTATACTTTCATTAACATTTACCAGTTCTACAAATAAAGTATACAGTTTTTTACATCATGTCATAGAAATCGAATCAAATTTCGCCATGATTGTAATTTGGAAATGGCCTATTGAACACAAATGTTTAAAATTGGAATTCAAGTTATTTTAAAATAAAATAAATCAATAAAGAAAACGACCTATAAGCCATGGAACATGACGGCAGAACGATTTCAACGCAAAACTAAATAGACCTTGAAGACAAACCGTCATTTCGCTAAACAAACTGAAGTTTGCATTCTTAGCTTTGGATTCTGTAATATTTGGCTTGAAAACACTAGTGCCAAATTTGACGGTTATCTCGTACAATGACTATGAAAGCTAAACACTGGGATTTGAATTCCCCTCCCTTGTGTCCCCAAAACCCCCGAAGACAGGGGCCCTGAAGAAAAAGCTAACTATTTTGATGCCAACAAATGGAAAACGAAAAAACTTCAAGTCAAACTGCATGGAAAAGAACTTCAGAGCACTTATAAAGGCATCTATTTTTCCCTGCAAGCAACGAAATTTATTGTTTCATTGGTACTTCTTAATTTCTGTAGGGCTTAATTTTGGCGATATTGCGAAATGATCACGACGAAGACTGGGAAAACGTTATCACAAGAGATCGAACCTCTAATGTAAAACCCTTTCATGAAACTCTTTTTCTCCTAACACAGTAGAGAGAAGAACATGCTAAAATGCCGAACTGAATATTAACTTTGTTCTATGTCCAGTGCCTCCCAACCGAACATGTCAGTCTGTTGTATGTTATGCTTCTCTTTGCTTTGTTTTCCTCTAGTTCTGTCGACTTATAACATCGACTCTGAGATTAACCGTTTGTTACAGAGCGGATCAGCGTTGAAAAATTCGTTTCCCTTCATCGCAAATTTCGCCAAATGGCGAAAATTTGGCAGAAAGCAAAATGTAGCGCTCCTAATTTCTCGCAAACCAAGGATCCCGCGAAAAGAAATAACGATGAGTAATTGAAGGTGAAAAATATCTATCACTGATTGAATAACGTTTTTATTTTCAGCTTTTGTCGGCTCAATCGGTCTGGGCATGGTATGGTTTGCAAGTCCGCTGGCAGGCTATCTGTGTGATCGCTTTGGATGGCGTATCACATGTTTCTTGGGAGGCACGCTATGCATTGCGGGTCTGGTGTCGACATCATTCGTCCAGAGCTTCACAGTGATGTACTTCACGTACAGCGCCTTGTACGGTTTAGGAACTTGCTTCATATGCAATTCTTGTTTTCTTGCAATTGCTAAGTATTTTACAGACAAGTTGTCTGTAGCTACTGGCATCGTTTCATTGGGCGCGGGTGTAGGGGTCCTCTACACCGGACCTTTGCTTCAAGTCCTCTTAGACTCGTTTGAATGGAGGAACACTTTTAGAATAATGGCAGCAACTTACGTCCTTGTTTGCATTTTGAGTCTGAGTTTTAATCCATACGTAGAAGAAATAGCAACAGTGGAGAACTTAAGCATTGAAAGGAACAACAAAGACGAAGAAAGAGACGACAAGTCAGGCATCTCTCTTTACTGCAGTGTGTGGAGCTTTCCTGCTTACACTGTTATTGTAACGTCGTTCACGATTGCCAATTTTGGGATGTATATTCCTTACATCAATCTGGTATGTTTAAAATACCTTGTTATTGCAAGGTGGGACGAGTTGGAAATAACACGTAAAATACCCAGAGGTTCAAATGCTCCGTATATGGGTCTTTAGTAGATATCTATTAGCGTTCCGTCACGAATGGCGTTCTCTGATTGGCTACGCTAGTCACTGACTATTCTGTTGTAGACAGCAAGTAGCTGAGGAGGGCACGGTTGTTGACAGAGTGGCCGCTGCTTCTTTGCGTTTTCGAAGTGCCTTTGAAGAGAATTTAGATAAAGTTTTGAACGACTAGTAGATTTACAATTAGGTTACACGCTTTCGATTTTTATTCGTTTTCCTCTAATTGTTAAATAATCTAATTGTAAAATGTAGGTTAAATAGAAGTTTTTTAAAGCCACGGTCATGCACTTCTCCGTGCTTTGGTCAGAATCTATAGGCATGCAAACAAACTGTAGGAGAATGATTGCTTGGAAAAAAATTCACCAGAGCTTGTGGCTCCTCAGTGTCATGTAACAAACAGCAAGGTAATATACGTTCCCGAACCTAGAGCTCTTCTTTTTTGCGCATGACTGGGTAACCCAAATCTCTGAGACCGAGAATGAAACACCACACAAATGTCTATGCTGTTAAATCAACTTCATGGCCGTTATTGGGTAAAATTTCGTACACTGGATTGAGCGCACAAGAAAAAAATGTCACCGTTTCAGTACTGAAGGTTACTTTTCTATACTTTCCTAAATAAAACATTTCTTAAGAGGTTATTGGTAATTTTTTTTTCTAGGTCAAGTACTGTGAAGATATTAGAATCTCTGCACAGAAAGCTTCTCGGCTGTTCATTTTTATCGGCCTTGCCTCATGTGTCGCTCGCTTGATGACGGGAAGACTATGTAACAACAAAAGAGTTAATCCAGTGTACGTTTATCAATCATGCTTGGTAACAGCTGGTCTCGCCGCCTTTATGCTACCGTTCACCACAAAATATTGGAGCCTTATCGTTTTCAGTGTCATTTATGGGCTGAGCGATGGTATTTACATAACAACTCAGAATTTTATTCTACTGACGGTTGTGGACAGCAAGAGAACCACGGCCTCTTTCTGCATCAACAATGTGTTATATTCGTTTTCTGCAGCCGCCGGTGGACCAGTTGCTGGTGAGTTTATAATATCACTTCAAACCGAGCGCGAGAATTGTCCAGGGGGAGCGCAGGCCTGAGGTCTTGACCGGAAGTACAGTACGTTTTCAGTGCAGCGTGTCCGGTACAAAAAGGCAAAAAA